GAAAAATGAATTGAAGTCAGTGGGAGGATGGAAGGATGAATAAATGAGTAAAAGACAAGTGCGGGTCAGTATGGGTTTCAATGAGTGTTGGGTGATTTGACCTGAGGCAGCATTTGTGGTATGGTGGCTGTCGGGCCAAAGGTGACCAAGTCGTAGGACCTTAAATATGAACTGAGGTGAATGGGAGGATGGAGGGATGAACGAACGACAAAAAGATGAGTGCAGGTTAGTATGGGTTTCAATGAGTGTTGGGTGGCATGACCTGAGCCAGCATATGAGGTACTGTGACCGTAGGCCAAAAGGTGAAAGAGCGGTAAGACTTTGAAAAATGAATTGAAGTCAATGGGAGGATGGAGGGATGAATAAATGAGTGAAAAAACTGATTTAAAAAATGACAAAAAGACGAGTGCGGGTCAAGACGGTCTTGGATGAGTGTTGGGTGATTTGTCCCGAGGCAACATGTGAGGTATGGTGGTTATGGGGTGAAAAGTGACTGATTGGGAAGGCCATGAAGTGTGAGGGAGGTGATTTTGAAAATGAATGGGAGTCTATGGGAAAAAAGGATGAAAAAACGACAAAACCAGAGAACGAGTGCGGGTACAGCTTAGCTGTATACAAGCACACCAATCGGGGTCAGACCGGACGGGTTACAATTGGTTTGGGGTCGATATCTCAAAAACTGTGGGAGGAGAAGTGGGACAAAATTTGGTGGAAGAAGAAGAAGAAGAAGAGGAAAAAGAACTAGAAAAGTGCATTTCCAGAAGAAAATGCAGAGTGGGATTGCAATCCGGCAGCAAAAACGTGGTAATGTATATGAGATGATCGCTAGGATGTGGCTAAGTTGTTGCTAGAGTGTTGCTAGACGGTCACTAGGGTGTTGCTAGGTGGTTGCCAGGGTGTTACTAGGTGGTTGCTAGGCTGTTGCTAGGTGGTTGCTAAGGTATTTAAGGTGGTTGCTAGTGTGTTGCTAGGTGCTTGCTAGGGTGTTGCAAAGTGGTTACTAAGGTATATGAGGTGGTTGCTAGGGTGTTGCTAGGTGGTTGCCAGGGTGTGGTTGCTAGTGACCAAGTGGTAAGACTTTGAAAAATGAACTGAAGTGAATGAGAGGACGGAGGGATGAATAAACGAGTTAAAAATGAGTGTGGGTCAGTACGGGTTTGCTTCGCAACCACACTAATAAAACTGTTGGATAACAATAGTGTGCTTGCGATGCTTTGAATCGCAGTCACACTAATAAAACAATCGGATAACAATAGTGTGTTTGCAAAGCAATCACACTAGTAAATGTTATAAATATAGCAGCGATACAGGGGCCAAGCACAATGAAGGAATCAGCAGAAGAGAGAATTATGATTTAAGGCCATGCAATTCAAAAGATATGTTAAAAAATAGGTATAATATAAGTTATATGCAATATGTGACACTAAAACACTTGGGCACCCTCAGGGCATAGTCGCAAACACAGACAACAAATTTGGTGTCAGTACAGAAAGGCATTGCGTAGATATGGCCTCACTACCTGTTTGGAAATGACACAAAGCTTCTTGGACACTCTCAGAACTGTGTAGGAAGTCTATATACCAAGTTTGGTGTGAAGACACAAAAGCATTGCTGAGATATGACCTCACTTCCTGTTTGGTGTCTTTGCTGTCAAACTCATTTACATGTTACGGGCAAACGCTTTGGAATATCTAAAATATTCAGATAACTTTTTTGAGGCATGGTCTGAAGATGATATGTACCAAATTTGGTAAAGATTGGACAGAATTTGTAGGAGGAGTAGCGAAAAAACAGTTTTCCTAAAAATTCAAAATGGAGGAAAATCCAATATGGCGGACTTTGACGGCAATGGGTGTGTTGGACTCGGCTTGACCTAGGACAAAAAATAATTTTGAATAAATTCCAACAGGGTCAGGAGTCATGGCCAAAAATGTTAGCTAAACTTTGACCTGATGGTGGTGCTAGAGGGCTTGATTTACTGACCCCAAAATTGGTGAGTGGACAGCTGGGACTGTCCTCTATGAGTTTGCCAAATTTCATAAAAAGCATACAAACGGATCTATGGGCTGCCATCGACTCCCATGGCAGATGTATAATAATAATAAGAAAACTAACAATTACAATAGGGTTCCAGCACCTTCGGTACTTGGCCCCCAATTAGAAAACTAACGGAAAAAATAGGGTTCCAGCACTTTCGGTGCTTGGCCCTAATAAGATGAAGAAGAAAACTAACGATAGGGTTCCAGCACCTTCGGTGCTTGGCCCCTAATAAAAAAACTAACGAAAACAATAGGGTTCCAGCACCGAAGGTGCTTGGCCCCTAATAATAATAATAAGAAGAAAACTAACGAAAACAATCGGGTTCCAGCACCTTCGGTGCTTGGCCCCTAATAATAATCTCCAACAGTGTTTCCTCTAGAGTTTCTATACGACAGCACTACCATCACCCAAGGAAGATTTCGTGGCCTTTAGAGGGGCGCTGAAGCAAAGGTTGTTTTGAGGAGGCCGTTACAGCGAAGAAGGGGGAGTGGCATTCTGAACATCTAACGAAGATAATACAGAGGATGGAAGCTGCCAAAATCAAAAATAAATAAATAAATAAATCAATCAAAAATAAATAAATGACTCAAAAAAATACATTAATATGCCATTAAATGTACCAAAAATAATATTAAAAATAAATGTAGGCATTAATTGATAAAATGTGACATAAACTGATATTTCTGTTTTAATTTGCTTCTGTATTTATTTACCTTTGTATTAATTCCCATATTTATTTACTTTCCTATTTAATTTTCCCTTTTATTTATTTTTTTATTTATTCATTTATTTCTGTATTATTTTCCCTTTGCATTTCCCCCCTATTTATTTCCCCAAACTTATTTCTGTGCTATTTTCTTTATATATTTCTTCATACATTTCTTTTTCTATAGAAGACGTATTCCTAAACGGCTGTGGGATGAGGAGGCCTCCCCTCCCAAGAAAGATGTGCCCTCCTTTGTACAAAACAAGGTGGATTTTGGTTTCATGGAGGCAAATGACAACCTAAGCAACATTTGGAAATAGTTTTTATGGTCTTTTTTTTGCTAGCAACATCTATAGAGAAATTGCTATTCTCCTATCCTCAGAAAATGGCGGCAAAGCACGGACCAGAGAGGGCAGTCGTGTCGTCTTTTTCTCCACGAAAAGATCCAGACACCACCGGAATGTCTGTTATGCGTCAAGAACTGCAGGAGCTGAAAAATTACGTGTTCACAGGTAAAAATTAAATTTAAGTACTGGAAAGTAGTCTTATTTGAATGGTAGACCCAGTTAAAAAACTTGTATTTTCCTATTCAGTATTATTCCTGAGCAGTGTTGAGAGTTATTAGATTACATTCATTCACATTACTGTAGTTGGATTACTTTTCCCAGTGACAAGGTAATGTAAGGGATCACGTTTAAATTTTCAGTAATCACATTACAGTTACTGTTCTAGCGAAATTCTCATTACTTCTGTTACTTGAGCACGGGATTTTTGAAAGATATAATGTGAGCTGAGGTGTCGGTCTGCCTCCTGTCTGCTGGTCTAGGATCATTCGTATCTTATTTATTGTGATTTAATAAGCGAAACTGATCCTACATCAGTACTTGTATGATTTGCTGTCCAGTTTTGTATTCTCCTTCTGATAAGGGCTAATCTGGGCTTTAGAGAGTAACGTAAAAGTAAAGTAATTAGTAATCTAATTACTTTTTAGAAAGAGTAATTAGTAAAGTACTGTGGTTACAATTTGTAGAAAGTAAGGAGTAACTTTACTTGATTACTTTTTTTGAGTAACTTACCCAACAGTGTTTTTGAGTACTATCTTCACCATCCATCAAGATGTGAGAGTTACTAAACGTCACCTAATGTAATAAAAAGGAGTTCCCCTTGTAGAGTAATGATATTGTAGTGAACCTGGTCAGACCAACTGTAGTGAAAATATCCAAATCTGTAGGCCATGTCTCTGGCTCACAAATCATATTCTCCAGACAGAAGAATGACAGAATGTTTGTTGGTACAGACCTGAGCAGATCTGCATCATTTTTTTCAGTGAAATGAAAAGTATGATCCAAAAATGGTTCCCACTAAAATCTTCTGTCAAAATAATTGCATTATTATTCTTTTTTTTACCATATTGTTCAGCCCTACACATCATGGACCTGTAAGTCTTCTCTCAATTTTGTAACATGATTACATGATAACAAAGTGCATTAAAATGTCTTTCACTAAATGGTAGTAAATGTAAAAATGTAATAATACATGGATTACTTTTGTTTGATTGAATATAATATATTGTGTTTGTGTGTTCCAGTAACAGAAATCACAAGGAAATACATGTGTAACTCTTTTTCCCTCTTTGCAGAGCTCCGAAAAATAAAACAAATGCTGCAGAGCTTGGAAGGAGGAAATGCCAGTGCTGCTGTTCTACCCAACATTTTATTTATTAGACCACTGACTAGGGTAGAACACTTGACATAAAATTACTGTTTTACTGTGGCTCCTTTTCACCTGAAGGCAGCACTTATTTCTTATTGGCTTGGCATAGACAACATTGATTATGATCACAGTTGACATAAAGTGATATGCTAAATGATATTTTCTTATGGTTTTTTTTTTTTTACTGCTTATCACCTTATGTCATAGAGAAACTATGACCCTTTTTTGTGTACAGTTTCTTATTTGGTTTAATCAAGGATATATATTTTTTTTTTCCTCATTTTTCCATTTTCTCCCCAATTTGGAATGGCCAATTCCCCGAATTATTGGAATGCCCAATTATTCATCGATGTTCGGTCCCATTGCACAACCCCCACTGTCAATCCGGGAGAGCGTGGACAAGTACGTGCCCTCCTCCGAGACACGTGATGTCAACAGCTGCTTCTTTTCGCTGTTGGGGTCGCTGTTGCTAATGGGACCGAAGCCCCTGCCGACATACCCACCCCTATCCCCGGCGGAGCTCCCGGTCACTGTCGGCTAGTGACACAGCCGGGATCGAACCCGGGCTGTAGTGTTCAGTCTGCACTCGGAACGAGTGCTTTTACCGACTCAGCCACTCGGGAGCCCAATCAAGGATATTTTGTTAATATGATTTTTTAACAGGAAGAAATATTCCCAGGATCAGGGGTATTCGTGCCTCGCAATGTGTGAGGGGCCGCCAACCAGGCTGCCACCGGGATGTCTATGGCCAGGCGTGTTCAACATAGAAACACTGATCCAGAGCAACTTGAGGGGTCAGTATGTGTGTGACACCTGACCACCTGACACCTGACCATTCAGGCAAAGAAAGTTCAAAACTTGTAAAGTATGTTCATTATTTTCTAAGCAAATCTGATAAAATCCCACTCTCAGGAGGTGAATCAAAAGTTGCAAAAGGGGAGCAGCATCGGAGCGGCCTTGAGCGGTTGAAAGTTGAAGCCATTATGGGTGAGTTAAGATTTTATTCTTTCTGAGTTTAGTTGCATCTCCTTATCTCCCATCTGTCTGCCTGTCTATCTATCTGTCTTTCTATCTATTTGTCTATCTATCCATCTGTCTATCTACCTATCTCCATCTATCTATCTACCTGTCTCTATCTGTCTATCTAGCTGTCTGTCCAGTCATCTCTCAGTTTGTCCATCCGTCCATCTATCTGTCTGTCATGTAAAATAAGAGGTTGCTTTCATGGCTGTGAGTATTTACCATACATAATGTGGTGAACATACTTAAATAAAGTTTACAGAACCTATGCTACTGTATGTTTCAACTACTGGTGATGAGTTAATCCACACCAGTATGAAGACTGCTTTGTAACTGATTACTTTTTTCTCTACATTCCTAGATGCTGTTATGTTGAAGCACCAGGGGGTAACCCAAGGCCAAATTGGAACGGCCTTAAATTGTAAAATGGCGGAGCTCCGGTTGGCAGCAGCCAAAAAATCGACTTGATGGGAAAAAAAACTTTTGAATACTGTCCAATATATACTATTCAATAAAAAGAGTTAAACAGTTATTTGTCTCTTTTTTTATTATCAAGATTTTATAAACATCAAAGATTTTATATTTATGTATTATACATCTATTGTGACATTTATTGATGCTACATAAACGTTACATATAAGAACATTACATATTTTAATGTATTTGGATCCCTAATATGAGTACCAGTATATAACTAAATCGTATATTAACATTTATGCAATACATATATTTATTATATATGTGTATATTTGGAAAAATATATGAGACCTATATGAAAGTGGCCATTTTTGCTATATTTTAAAATATATCTGACATACATGCATATATATGGTGACTTACATGTCTGAGACATACATGGACATATACACTACATATGTAGTTTACATATTTTGTTGTATATCAGATTTATGTATGGGAGGCCATTCCTCTCCTCCCCAGATAAGACGTAAGTTAAGGCTGTAGACCCAGTTAAGGCTGAACGTAGGAAAGAGCATCTTGCTTACCTTATCAAGGATGACAATTTGAATAATTAAGTGGCAAGTAATCCCAAAGCTTTCTCTTAAATGTTTCACATTATAGCTTTATTGTGTTACAAAATTCAAATGACAAAGCGGAGCTAAATTTAGTTAGATCGATTTAAATTACGGAGAATAAACTTTTAGGTTAGGTTAAGTGCAATGAACAATAACGTTTAGAACACAGACCTCACAAAAGCTGTGATGTGTCATGAGCATTTGACGCAAGTTAAATTGATAAATGCCATCCTTGTTAATTAAACAATCTCACGTAGCTTTCGCAAGCACACAAACTACAGACAATCTGCGCTGTTTCACAAGCACAATAACTTACTCTATTTACGCGATTGGTGTCAATTATTCTGTGAATTATTTGTTTTATTGTTAATCAAGGAGGATAAAGGGGAACAGGTTGAAAGTAATGATAGATTTAAAGGTAATGTTTCAGCCTCCCCTGTTTCCAGCTCACCAGCCGCCACTGATATAGGAACATCAGAAGCAGTCACAGACCTGACTAAAAGGGCTGTAATTTAAGTTTTACATGTTGAATGAATTTGTATATAGCAAAAACATTAAGGAGAGATGTGATGTATTGATAAAGTTTTGGATTAAAGCCCTTATGAAGATGATGTGTAGTTCTATTGTTTTTGCTAAGGAGGTCCAACATACTGTGCCATATAAAACACAGAGATGAGTGTGGGATTTATCTCCTGTGATAAAGCGCAGAGCACAATGATAAATTGAATCAAGTTTTTTTTTACAGCAGTGGTTATCAAATCATTCCTTAAAGGGGCCATAGAATGGAAAATTGTATTTACCTTGGCATAGTTGAATATGGAGAGTTCGGTACATGGAACTGACATACAGTGAATCTCAGACACTGTTGTCTCCTACTTCAAATGCAAATTCTGCATAAGCAAAAGAGTGGGGTAAAACGGGCCATTTCAAAAATCCCTAGACTGTGACATAGTCTTGACTCCACCCCCAAATTACACCCCCAAAATTTACATAAACCAATAGTGATCTATTTCGACATGTTGCTTCTGTGTGAGCCATTGCGGTGCCTCGCTGTAAACCAGCCAATCAGAGCTGAGCTCATCAACTATTAATGAGCACACCAAAAAAGGGAAAACAGCTTGTTTCACTCTAGGGCCAAATCATAGGGTTTTATATGGCGTGTGAAACTACATCTGGGCATTTTTTGCCCCGACCAAAGTCACACACCTTCTATGTAGACATCAGAGAACAATTTAAAATAAAAAATACATTCTATGGCACCTTTAAGTTCCACTTGTCTTGCAAGTTTTTGTTCCAGCAATACTCTTGTATACATGGTACAATTAAGGGTTTAATGCTGATTGTTTGAAAGAGATCTACCTGAACAGGGCATGCATGAATGTATGTTGCCCTCGGGTCACTATCTGGTTACCCTGCTTTCTCACCAACGTGACCCTCAATTGACTGCAGTACATAGAGTCCATGGGACATGTTTAAATGTCTAAATTTCCCCTTGGGGATCAGTTAAGTGCTATTTAATCTAATCTAAAAAGACATGCTCATCTCATTTTAATGGTAAGTCTCCCATTAGGTTGACATGGAGTACAGCATTGACTGGGAAATTCCATATGATATGTTATCAGCCCTGCCCTATATCTTCCCTGTGCATCCCTGTTCTGTTGCCAGTTCGTCTCGGTTGCTTTTTGCCCGTTTCGTCCCCGCTTTTGCTTCGTGCTTTTTTTTTCGCTGTTTTCCCGTTTTTGACCTGTTTTTTTGCCTGCCGTTTCTGCCCTGTTTGCCTGTACCTCTGCCTGCCCGGTGTCTGACCCTGCCTGCCCCATTACCCGTTTCCTGGATTTGCCCTTCGGACTGCCTTCCTGGTTGTTGACCCCTGCTTGGTTTTTTACGGATACGATTCCTGCCTATCGGAATTGTAATTATCTGCCGGCATTCGTTGGTCTGCGACTGAGTCCTTGCCCGTGCCCTGTCAATTACCACACTGACATATTTGACATATCTGCCAAATGACCTAAATGTAAATATTTGGAGATGTTTAAAAGGTAGAGATCTAACAAATTTGAGTTCAAGTTGTAGTTCAAGTTCAAGTTGCAGCCTATATGCATTCAATTTGTCAACCCAAATAGGCTACTATCTTGATAATAATGTAAATCTCCCTAAAAAGTAATAAGCATAATTTTATGTTTTTAACAAAGACGCATAACGTGTTCGGCTCTTACATTGGGCACAGTGGACTTTTGGCTGCATGGCAGCTGCTAACAGTACGCTTCGCTCTCTCTTGTATGGGGGCAAAATTCGCTCTGATTGGGCAAAATCAAAGCGAATTCGCCGAAGTAAGCGAAATTGAGATGGTGAATTCCCAATTTTATGCAAATGAGAACCACGTGAGAACCAATCAGTTCAGCGTGTGATGTGTTTGGTACATGACGTTCTCTAGAGAGGCGGGAGTAGCAAAAAAAATCTGACCAAGATGGCGGAGGTTAAAGGCTACATGTAGCATGAAAACATGTATATGAATAAAAGATGTATGGGCAACCATTTGTGTCTACATCAACACGGGTTGTTGTTTACATGTTACATGAACTTAGTTGGGGCCAGAGCGGTAGAAAAAACTCTCAACGGCTCTGGTCAATAGCTTGCTAGCTAGCTAGCTTGCCAGCTGGCTATGTCACCCCACCACAACTACACTTGCTACTAACAGGATAGCCAAACTTGCTTGCTGTTTTTGCGACCATGCCCCCAGAGTGAAAATTTGTAGGGTGAAATTTGCGCGGTATTTCACTGTGTGGAAGCCTAGTGCAATAATAACTACTGTTATTAATAAAATGTATAATTAATAACTATATTATTAATAACAATAACAAAACAACTATTATTAATAATAGTTATTATTAATAAGAACTATACAGCATTTTATTTATAAGGTTTTGATTGGCAGACTTCCTGACCACGTTTGCTCACAGATTAGTTTTAGTAAATATGGCCCTGGGAGAGAACAGTTTCATTGGAGTGAATTGTTCATGGCTTTCTACAGAGCATCTAAAATTGTGAATGGCTTTCCAGGCTTCATGATGTGCAAAGCACCCAACTTAAGGACTACTACCCCAAAACAAATTATTTCATTTTCAATGGTGGCAAGCACTGAAACTGTAATTTGTCATCCATCAGGTTAGACAAGATGTGTGTGGCTACGTGCACATATTGTAAGAACTGTAGGAAATAAACTGATGACAACTGAATTTTTGTCTTTATTCCAAATTAATGAATGCACTGAAAGTGTCAGCTCAATCTGTTTTGTAATCTCCCTTTAGAAAATTTGAACAAGGTCCCAGTGACTGCTTGTACATCATGGCACATTTGTTTTTGTCTGTGTTCCAAAACCGTAGACAACAGAAAGATCTGCAAAGTGGGGCCTTCTATTCCTGCAACCCATTTCTCCTGAAAATTGTTCATACGCCCCTCAAACAGTTTATCCTTAATGAAAAGGGTTTTTTTTACACACAATACAATACAATACAATAAAATCTATATATATATATCTATGCTATATACACTCACTGGCCACTTTATTA